GTTGGACAGTTTATCAAGCTGCAAACAGCTTTTTATATCAGAAAAACTGAACCTAAATAAAACTGGCTGATAGCAAAAAAAAATTACAGTACAGAAATTAAACTTCTTGATCGTTATGTGTAAAAAAGTTAACAAAAACAATTTTGTGGAGCCTGATAAAAGAAGAAAATATGTCCCAACCAACAAAGTATCAGAGAACGCAACAAAAATAGTGGTTGAATATATCAGATCATTACTACGTAATAGGAGTCATTACTCTTATAATCAAAATCTAAATACGAAATACCTTTCGTCCGATTTAAACATTCGCAAAATGTATGGTCTTTATAAAGATAATAATTACACTGATAACGATAAACCCCCAGGAAGGGATGAGGGATTATATTTTCAATACTGAATTCAATTTAAAATTTCACCATCCTCATTCAACTCTTGTTATAAATGCGATCGGTTGGTAAACTTAATATCATCATCAACTGAAGACGAAAAAAGAAGTACGAGACAATTTAAGTATCAAAAATGGCAAAATTTATAACAGCTGCTAGAGTTCATACCCCCATTTACCATCAATTTTATAATGATTTGCCGCAGGAGTCAAAGCAGCAAAAAAACACAATGAAAAAAGGAAGCACTGCTGTTAAATCTTCCAAAGAAGGTGCCAACGTCGAACAAGACGACTACATAGGTTTTTTCTCAGATTATGAGTAACTTTGGTGTTATAAAAAAGTAAAATTTGTATTTTTTTTTTTAAGAAAAAATAAATATTCATTGAAAATTATGCTTTTGTTTAGTTCTTTTTGTGTATTATAAATTCAATTTTTGCTTAAAGGTAAAACAACCCAAGTGCATTTTTTGTCGAAAGAGGTAAAAAAAACTAAAATAATTTCTCACCAGAAGTATCTTTAAAATTTTATACTTATTTTGAATTGTTTAATACTTTAAAATTTTTAATTTTGAACATCCAGAATTTTTAAAAGAGCAAAAACTTTGATGCTTTATTTCTCAAAATGTGTATTTTGCTACTTAGGCGGTTTTGCTTCTGACCCCTTCAATTATAACTACTATGGATCAACCGTGAACATGTAACCAAATATTATAACTCTATATATGGATCGATATTAAAATATTCATCTATCTTTGTTATTAAATCACGAAAAATGTTTCATACTGATCTTTAATTTAAACCAAAATTTATACAGCCCAAAGCGATATTTAAAAAATGCATAACTTAAGATGTAATTCGACTCTGGATTTAAATATATTTACTAAATTCTATTATTTGGACGTAGAAGCGTCGACTTAACTAGGAATCATCAACAGACTTAAAACATTTGGAAACGTTTAGAAGATCGCTAAAAATTCCATGGACACAACACATAACAAATGAAAAAGTTCTGAGTAAAATATGACAAGGAAGAGAACTTAATAATTAAAAGAAAAAGACAAAATATCTGCGACATGCGTATCGTAACCGTAAGTATTAAGTATTCTCCTCTTCCTTTGTACCATCTCTACTAAGGCTGGCGACCAGTATTGCAAAGTCTTGTCTATTGAAGGCTTGGTGTATGAGAGCGTTTACTTCGGTTTTGGTAGTCTCGTATATTCCTCAGCCATGATTTCTTCCTTTTTCCTATACCAACTTGTCCTTTAATTTTCCCCTCGATTTGTAGTTGGTCGTATCGATTGTGGCGCATTTTATGTCCGATATATGAGGTTTTCCTAACTTCTAAGATCTTCGACAGATGTGCGCAAGTATTCATCATTGACAACACCTCGTTGTTTGTTCATTTGATCCAACTCATTTGCACCATTCTTCTGTACCGGGTGGTCCAATAAGCCGATCTCTCGGCTATATATCAGAAACTATTCATGTTATAACTTTAGGAAAAAAAATTCCTTAGTAAAAGTGGCCAAGAGAAATCGCTGGAAATAATTTTCAAGATTCTGGATTAACCGCTAGGGGGCGTAACTTGGGAAAAAAATTTTGAAAACCAGTTTTTTGGGAAATATGTCCAATTATACCAAGTGTTAAATAAGTAAACTAGAAAGAGGCATAAATTCTGCACAAAGTTGTTCGAGTACTTTTTTTTTATTTTTTCAAATAAAGGGTGGGGGAGGGTGGGAAAGTATTTGTGGATAAATACCTATAACTTTGGTTTGCATCAACCGATTTTAACAAAATTAGTGTCATTAGAAAGAGTATGGATAATTTAATTTACATCTACTATAAAATAATTGCATTTAGTTTTAATTGTCGTAGGTAGAGGGTACTTTCGAATAGAAAAAATTAAAATTTGTTTTTCTTCAAAATTTTTAATGGAAACACCTATTTATTGTAAATTATAATAGAACTAGATTAAATTCGTAACAAAATGGCGCAAACCGCATGTTAATATCTTTTATCGAACTCGAGATATGAATAAAAATGCATAAACATAAGTAAGTATAGTATTGACACACCCTGTATTATAAAATAAATTAAAAAATAAGTCAGTAGGTACTTTCATAATTTTTTATAGCAGAAAACTCTTAATGTTGATATCTATTTTGACCATTGTTATTTCATATGATTAAAAATTGTTTTTTCGAAACTAAGTAGGCTACGACAATGAATTTAACAGGGAGTTCATATTGTTTATTTATTGACAGCAGTCAAAATATTGTTAAGAAGTGTTATATGTAGTATAATTCGAATTGAAAATTGCATTTTTTTCAATAGATATTAATATTGGTAATATTAGTAATTAATTATCAGTACTAATAATTCGTGATGAGTATATCAAATTGTATGATATAATTGGAGTTTATTTCGAATATCACCAAAATGGCGCTATTGCCTCACGTATATATTCTGTAAGATATCCTGGCAGGAGATATTGTGGCAAAGAAGTAGAGATTTCGGACTACTTATATGTGGATTCTGTTGAATTAAAGCAAGAACATTGATTGAATTATCTTCGGTCATAACTCTACTACGTCGTTTAAAACAAGGACGAGAAAAACTACCAGTTTCTCTTAATCTTTTTGCCTTTCTTTCAAATACTTCTTTGCCATAATGTCTCCTGTCACGATATCTTACAAAATGTATACGTGCGGCAATAGCGGCATTTTGGTGACATTCGAAATAAACTCCAATCATATTATACAATTTGATATACTCACCACGAATTATTTGTACTGATAATTAATTACTAAAATTACCAATATTATTATCTATTGAAAAAAGTGCAATCTTTAATTCGAATTATAATATAGCACTTCTTAACAATGTTTTGACTGCTGTCAATAAATAAACAATATGAACTCCCCGTCAAATTCATTGTCGTAGCCTACTTAGTTTCGAAAAAACTATTTTTTACAAAATAGGTATCAACATTAAGATTCTTCTGCTATAAAAAATTTGAAAATACCTACTGACTTATTTTTTAATGTAATTTATAATACAGGGTGAGTCAATACTATACTTACTTATGTTTATGAGTTTTTATTCATATCTCGAGTTCAACAAAAGCTATTAACATGCGGTTTGCTTCATTTTGTTACGAATTTATTCCAGTTCCATTATAATTTACAATAAATAGGTGTTTCCATTAAAAATTATGAAGAAAAACAAATTTTAATTTTTTTTATTTGAAAGTCCCCTCTACCTACGACTATGAAAACTAAATACAAGTATTTTATAGTAGATGTGACTTAATTCATCCACACTCTTTCTAACGACACTAATTTCATTAAAATCGGTTGGACCAAATCAAAGTTATAGGTATTTATCCACAAATACTTTCCCACTCTCCCCCACCCTTTATTTGAAAAAATAAAAAAAAGTACTCGAACAACTTTGTGCAGAATTTATGCCTCTTTCTAGTTTACTTATTTAACACTTGGTATAATTGGACATATTTCCCAAAAAACTGGTTTTCAAAATTTTCTTCGCAGGTTACGCCCCCTAGCGGTTAATCCAGAATCTTGAAAATTATTTCCAGCGATTTCTCTTGGCCACTTTTACTAAGGAATTTTTTTTCCTAAAGTTGTAACATGAATAGTTTCTGATATATAGCCGAGAGATCGGCTTATTGGACCACCCGGTACATCCACATTTCAAATTCGTATATCTTGTTGATGTCGTCTTATTTGAGTATCCATGTTTTTCAGTTGTACAGAAAGAGGGACCACATATAACATTTTGGTGTTCTAAATCTTATTGGTATGGCAAATTTTGTTTGTCTTTTACTTGTCGTATTTTAACTCCGAACTTTCTGCATAGCAATTTTCAAATTTTAATAGTAAGATTAAATTTTGTGTATACACCATCGTATCAATGGTGATCAATATGACGTAATCCGTGTACCATATATTACTTTAATCATTTACATTATTGTTGTAGTCAATTATAATCAAAGATTCTAAAAGCTGCGAAACATTTATGTGTAACCCAAAACCGAATACGATTAAGGAGAAGAATATGGTGTAGATAGCATAAGCGATTTGGATCCCTTTTGGACACCAATGCAAAGATGATATATGGACATGGTAATGGACATTTGATGGTATGTTTTGTTGCTTACTGTCTAAAAATTTGAGAAAACAGTGTATTCTTAAATTTTATTTTAAGTTTTCTTGAGATTTACTTAAAGTTTACTTAAATTGCGATTTAAATGTTACTTAAATTGAACTTAAAATTTGATAAATATTTTATCTAACAATAAAACAATGATAACTTTTATCCTTAAAACATCCACAAAATTTATTATAATTTATTAGCACTACAGCTATTTCGGTAGAGTGCCTTTCTCAACTGCCTTTCGCAAGGGCTGTAGTGATAATAAATTATAATAAATTTTGTGAAAGTGTTGAAAAGAAAAGTTTTCAGTGTTTTATTGTTAGATAAACTTATTTTGCATCAAGTAACGGTCGAATCCATCACTTGATTAATAATTTACTTAACTTTTTAGAAATAAAAATTATTTTCCTTCTATCCAAATATTAACGAATATACTTACATCTCTTTCCATATATATCACCATAAATTCGAAGAGAAAACAGATATAATATCCATCGTGGAAACCATGCCAGACAGCTAAGAATAATAGTGAAGCCAACTGACTTAACTGTCTGTTTCCCAAGAATTTTAGTCTTTTATAAATATAGTGTGCGATCCAGTTATTGGTGTTTACATTGAAAGACTTGATATAGTGGTTAAATTCCGTTGTATTTTCAAAAATATATAGTTTTATATTTTCTACTCCATCCCATTTGACATGACCTTTCTCGTCTTTTCCGTTGTGTGCAATGCCTAAAAAAATATCAAATTGATGTCTTATATAAATAATAGATATATATGTAGAGATAAACCATATTATCATTAATTTAGCTCAATGTAATATCAGAAATAATAAACTTACCAAACAGAATACATGCTCCTTCTGTCAGTAGCCAGCAAGATATGTACTTGTAGAGGGTATATCTACCCCAGAGACCCAGTAAAAACATTCTTTTGAAGAAACAAGTTTGTGCAAATTCGTCAGAAAGTAAATAATCATCCGACACGAAAGATCCAATTGTTTGGAATATTATTAGATATGCAACTCCAGTAACACCTCGCTTTATCGCAGCTAAGACGCTGTCTGGAGGACCGTCCTGCAAAAACAATATACAGATCACGACATTGTTTTATTGACCATACAACACAATGACAATCGCTGTTACATATTATACGTTTCCACCTCTATATTCATTTCACAGTAGGTACGAATTGTCGTAATTGTCACATTCACATTCACATTAAAAATTTCAAACGAAGTTCTGAAAGAATAAACAAATAGTTAATAAAATGCCTAGTACGTTGTATACCGTCCAAGAAAAAGTGCAACTTGTAACATGGTACTTTCAGGTTCATTCAATACGCGAAGTAATTGATTTATTTATTGTTGCCTTCGAAAATAGACTCCCACTAAGTGTTACAACAGTTAAAAATACCATTAAACATTTTCAAACTTCGGGATGTGTAAACAGTTGTAAAAAGTGTCATGAAGGTAATGAACCACGTGTTAGACCTATCGATGAGGAGCATCAAAGCAGGGATATTGATATTTGAGCTCTTGTGGAAGCTAGTGAACCCTGCAATAGTGTACAAATTGCTAGGGAAGTTAACGTGAATGCTCGAACTGTCCAGCGAGTTCTCAAAAGGAATGGGTATCACTGTTTTAAGATACAACCAACACAAGAACTGTTTCCGGAAGATAACTTTAGGCGGATGGAGTTTTGTGAATTTATGTTAGATAAACAGAATGAAAATGTACACTTTTTAAAAAAAAAATTTTTCTGACGAATCTTCATTTTCATTAGATAAAAAACACAATCCATCCCTTGCAAGGTATTATTCTCGGAAAAATAAGCACCTCAGTGTTGCAGTGCGAACGCAGCATCCGCAAAAGTTAAATGTTTGGACTGGGATGTTAGGCGACCATATTGTCGGTCGCCAAACGATTTCTTTTATTTTTGAGGTTTTCTCAAAGAAAACATTTAGAGGCATCAGTCTGAAATGGCCACAAACCTAGTCGAATTAAGGGCAAAAATACATCATTTATCTGCAAGCATTACACCAGCTCTACTCCAAAATACGAGGAGAAATCTGTATGACAGATTTGGTTACTGTTTAGCACAAGAAGGTGGAATATTTGAGCCCTTAATTCCCAACATTTCCCCAAATTGAGGGATTGCCGGGGCAAAAAAGAATTTATGGAAATGGAATTCCAAAAATAATGAGCCGCAATAGATTTGAGATGGTACTTTCGTTTTGTCGTCTATCAAAAAATAAGCAACCAATCAATCCCGAAGAGAAGCTGCACAAAATATCTAAATTTTTAAACGTACTAGAAAAGAAATTCAAAGAATCGTATAATCCCGAAGAAATTTGTATTGACGAAAGCAACGTACCATTTCGAGGACAAATTTAATTCCGACAGTACATTCCCAATTAAAAAGAATCGTATAATCCCGAAGAAATTTGTATTGACGAAAGCAACGTACCATTTCGAGGACAAATTTAATTCCGACAGTACATTCCCAATTAAAGACATAAGTATGGGATAAAGGTTTTCAAATTCTATTATATTTCTATACATGGTCATTTAAAGCCTACACAGGCAAAGAAAGGGTAGACGATATATCAATTACCAAAAAAATTAATACATACTGCGATACGTGTAACCTGTCGCGTAATAAATAAAATACTAAACTATCAAACATTGTTATTATAAGACACTCACCCTGGTATTATAATGCCCATCTATAAATTCTAAGTATCTCTTCATAGAAAACTGCGGTCCAATTAAAAATGCTGACGGAAAGAACGAATGACCAAATATTTCTAATATACTGGGTTTCTGGACTAGGGCAAGTTTCTTACTATCGGACGATAATGTTTCCACTGGCTGGTGACCGTCATATAAATCAAATGCAACCCCTAAAAAATATAGTAATATTATACATAAAAGATTTGAATAAATTGAATTCAATTTTAAAAAAGTAATACCATCTGAATGCGAAATAGCACTAAGGGGCAGAAAAGCTACATAGTAATGGTAGAAATATATTCCTTCTGTGTATGATATTAAGTGTGAGCGAAAATTATATGCACTCTGTATGTACAGAACGTATTAGAAAACGTATTTGTAATTAAAACAGCATATGATAGTGTAAAAAATACCCTCTATAAAGCGATACTCACTCACACTCACTCACTCTCTCGAGTCACTCTCTCAAGCTACTTCTTAGGATAATTCTTAATAAAATCACACAGAAATGTGAAGACACAATGGGAAATAAACAATTCGGTTTCAAAGAACGATTGGAAACAAGGAAAGCTTTGTCTCAAAGCTAACACTACTTCAACGATCATGGGAAGTACAGAAACCAATTTATTTCTGTTTTATAGATTTTGAGAAGGCGTTTGATAGGGTTCAACATGATAGGCTGTTTCAAGATATAGAAATGATTGGAATAGATGATGAAGATCTAAGACTTTTACAACATCTACGTAGGACCTCAATGTTAGTTACACGATCCACCCATGAAATTCTTAAGATACGTCTGTAACACCACATCTCCAATGGCTCGAGTTTTCTTTAGGAAGCTTGTGTCCAGGCCTCTACTACGTATAATAAGGTAGAAAATACATAGCATCTAATGAGAGAGATTTTTGTAGCAAGTGGTAAATCATGACTTCTGAAAAGAGACTTCATCATTATGAACGCTGATCTCGCTTTTCCTATGCGTTGTTTTATTTCACTGGAGTGATCCCATTGGCTGTTAATGTTGGTACCAAGGTATGTGTAGCTGTCCACTCTGTCAATTGGATGTTGGTTAACGAAAAGCTGTGTATTTAATATTTCGCGCTTATTGACTACCATATACTTTGTTTTCTTCGTATTAGGATCAAGTCCGTGTTCTCTACTTATATCTGATATACGCGACATTATTCTTTGCAAACCGTCCAGACTATCTGCAAAAACTACTGCGTCGTCGGCATATCTAATGTTGTTTAGACGCATTCCGTTGACTAATACGCCTTCTTGTAGTTCTCCCAGCGCTTGCTCGAAGATATATTCAGAGTATATATTAAATAACACCGGGGATAGAATGCATCCTTGCCTTACTCCTCTATCTATGGAGACTGCCTCTGTCAATTGATCATCAACTTTAATATTGGCTGTTTCGCTGTAATATAAATTATAGATGATTCTCAAGTCCCTATCATCTAACCCCAGTTCTTTCAAGATGTTTATAAGTTTATCATGTTTTACTGTTTTACTCTACTCTAACCTCGGCGCTATACAACTAATTGTCAATAATGAACAGATAACAAAAGTTAGCCATTTTAAATACCTAGGATGTTGGATAAACAAGACACTAAATCCGGATGAAGAAATTAAAACTGGTATAGAAATTGCAAAAGGAGCATTTATGAAACTTAGATCTATTCTGAGGAATTCTCAGCTGAACTTACAGCTGAGAATTAAGTTCCTAAAAAATGTTATGTGTATCCTGTATTACTGTATGGATGTGAAACCTAGATTATGATGGTTAACATGATTAGAAGCCTTCGAGATGTGGATACATCGTAGAATGCTCAGAATATCATGGGTTCAGCACATTTCAAACAGAGAATTCTTGAACAGAGTAGGTCAAGGTGAAGGTGAACTAATAAAGATGATAAAAAAGAGAAAACTCAAATATCTGGGGCATATAATGAGAGGAAGCAGATACAGGATAATGCAGTTGATACTCAACGGCAAGATCGACGGAAAAATAAGAATTGGTAGGAAGAAATACTCAAGGCTCCGAGACCTTAATCAATGGACTGGCTTATCAGCAGATGAATTATCACATGCCGCGCAAAATCGAGATCGATATCGGCAAATCGTCATGGAAGTTAACCACGCCTAAAACTTGGGTACGGTAATCAAAGAAGATAAAGTGATATAAAATGATGCTATTACCAGGTGCAAAATCAATTCTTTTTTTTTCAGGGAAACAATATATCTTGTCTGCCGTTCTATCAGTGTATCGAAAAAGTTAGAAGAAAGTTTAAATAGGAACCGGTTAGCTGGTGCAATATAAAAATAAAATTTTAAATTTATCACAATGCTCTCACTTTCAGCCATCTGTTCGCCATAACTTACATTAACTTGATATGATGCCCAGTAAAGGGCATTAAAACATACACAATTCTACATAATTGGTAAGCAGTAAACTGATTTTCTTGTTTATAAAATTTACTATTTTTATTAAAAATAAGCCACAATTTTACTTTAAAATTAGTTTATTTTGACTTTTCAATTTCCACTTCGGAAATCGTTCTCAAAATGCAAAATATTAATCATCATCATCAACCTGTATGCGTCCACTGCTGGACATAGGTCTACCTCAAATCTTTCCATTTGTCTCTGTCTTGTGCGGCTTGCATAAAGTTATTGCTAACACACTTCAGGTCGTCAGTCCATCTAGTTGGTGGGCGTCCTCTGCTCCGTATTGCTTCTTGCCTTGGTCTCCACTTTAAAATACGTTTTGTCCATCGGTTGTCCTACCCAATTCCATTTTAACGTCGCAATTTTTTCAATAGCGTCTGTAGTTGTTGTTCTACGACGTAGAACGCCTAGAATTGCCCATTATTGCAATCCTCTAAGCCCATTGTTATCAGATATTTTTATGGATCATCTAGAGACAAAGATTTCAAAACATCCCGTATTTAAACAGTTTTTATATTGGTGGAGATACGTAGCCGACATACTAGTATGTTTCACAGGAACTAACAGGCAACTCGACCAATTTTTATCGTATATCAATTCACTTCATAGTCATATTGAATTTACAATAGAAACAGGACAAAATTAATCCATATTTTTTTTAGATTTAAAAATTATCAGACTTAAAAACAAATATGACTTCTCCATATTTAACAAACCTACCCATACTGACACGACTATACACAATTCATCATCCCATCCAACACAACATAAACTGGCAGCATATCATAGAATGTTACATAGATTAACAGAAATTCCGATGTCAAAATACAACTTTGAGACAGAATTAAATATAATTAAGCCAAAAGCAGTAAACAACGGATACAATGAACAAACAATTAATAAAATGTTAAATCAAAAACTACACAAAAAAGCCCTGAAATTAGTATTTTCACCACCAGAGAAAAAACCCAGTACCTTCTGATCGATTACATATACAGGTAAAATATCAACAAAAATAGCCAAACACATAAAAAGAAAGGAATAACACCAGCTTCCGAACAAATAACAACCTAGGCAAATAAATTAAAAACAACAATAGCCAAAATAAAAAACACACATGGTGGTGTGTACAAACTTACATTGTCAAACTGGTAGAAACTTTAATAAACGAATAGCAGAACATAAAAGGGATTTCAATAATAGAAAAACAGATTCTACATACGCACTTCACCTTCTAGAACTAGATCATAATCATTCTTTTAATGGTAAATTTAGAATTCTTCACACCAAAATAAAGGCCTTAAGCCATCTTTGTTAGAATCAATGGAAATCAACAATTTAAAAAACGCAGATATAATTAATTCTGAATAACCAACTTGAGACAAACAGTTCTCCCCTCCTCAACCTATTTCATTAGAGACTATAAAGTGTAAACGCAAGCCAAAAATAGATCACTTGAGAAAGGCAATAAGCCAAAACAGCTGTAGTGATAAGAGTTAAAATAAATTTTGTGGAAGTTTGAAAACAAAGTTTTCAGTGTTTTATTGTTACATAAAATGAATTTCCATCAAGTAACGGTCGAATCCATCAATTAGACTATATTAGTTTTATGTCTGCAAACTGTACCAACTGGTACGGTGGTACAAAACCTATACCACCCCATAACTAAAAAAATAAAAACTTCTGATTGTGTATCAATAGTAGATAATTAACACCTTTGTGTATTTTTTTTATCAATTTGAAAATAAAAATAGTGTTGCTTCCCTAGGGCATTTTTTGCATGGAAATTTGAGAAAAATCTCCCATGAGCCGTAGAAGTAATGTACGTTCGCGAAAAAATAGAGTGATAACATAATTTATTAAGAAAAGCAAGAAAAAAACCGACAATAACAAAATCTAAGGATGCAAGAAGAAAAAGAGAACATACCAGAGTTTATCTTATAAATTTTCTCACTTATGCATCAAAAACAATGTTTTTAACATATTCCTCATTTAGCTGATGTATGGCTTGCGGTTCCAATACCATTGTTTATATTTTAAAATGTGTCATAGGAATAGTACACATTCTACCTCGTCTATTAGTGACTAACAGCAAAAATATTATCGCGCGCTATTCACGTGTTTATGTGACTTGAAATAGTACTATAACAGTCATTGGATTACAACAAAGTATGCTATTTAGATAATTAAGCAGTAAAGCGTGCATACGCACATGTTTTCAGTAACGTGACTTCAGTTATTGTTTTCGTATGTTAAAAGATATTTAGTTTTTTACAAAAATTAGCAGACACTGACACTAACGACATGGTAATAATAGTGGATAATTGAAAATCAGCCCATGGAATAGGCCCTTTCCCCGCTAGAACTGGAAATGAAAATAAATATATCTATAACCCAGATGACGACAAATCTTGTAGGCAGCAAAGATATATGCGTAGAAACAACATCCATAGACCAGGAAACGGCCTTGAGGTTCTTCGTCGTATAAGACTGACTTGGGCCGCCTTCGGCAAGTTGAGCCACATTTTTAAATCGTCCAACATACAAATATTAAAAGAAAAACCTTTAATTAGTGTGTTTTGCCAGTGTTGACTTAGGAAGCGGAAACGAGCTACGATGAAGATCAGGAGTGGCTGATGCTGTAGAGAGAATAGCAACACTGAAGCGGAACTGGGCAAATAACGTGGCTCGAATGACAGATAACAGATGGACAAAG